AGCATGTTGCAATCATACTTGACAAATTGGAAGACCAGAAGCAATCTGCTCACTCATCAGGGCTGAGACATGTCACTTGGAAGTGGTTGGATACGTGAAAACCTTGTTGGGCAGTTTGGTGTGGAAGTTGAGAGGTGGGAAGGTGACACTTCTCTGCTGATCATCAGCACCAGAATGGTGATCAGCATGCCAGCAGGGACCTGTAGATCCTGTCAGTTTTGTGTATTACTTCTTTTTGTTTTTCCATTTCATCTCCCAAAGCACTCCAGTGACACTTCCCACAGACTGGTGAACTTGTCAGACCATTTCCTTGATCCATTCTGTGCATTTGTTCAGGCTCTTCACTATTCGATCAGTTCACAGATCAGCAGCCCTGTTGGTCCTCCTAATTGTTCTCAGGGGAGGGGTAGCAATCAGAGCTGTAACATGAAACACTTGTGATTGAACAATAATCATTTTTTGAAAGGTAGAACTCTTTCTGAAACATAGCTTTCTCAACATTGCCAAAGCTGTCTGTGAGTGTCTGCATCCCTCAAGGTTTTCAGAGAGTGCCAACTCAAAACCATGAGTTAGTAGAACCTCAAAAAAGAGCAGACTAATAGCACCTGGTTTTATGCTCTGCATTTTGACATATGACATCAACAGTGGCTTTTTAATGCCATAGCAAAATAACACTGGCATGCCCTGCCCAGTTCACCCCACACAAGACCCTCCAAATTAGTACAGCTGAGGTAACATACCTTGTGGGGAGCTGGAGGTCCCAGGTCTCTCCTCCTGGTGCTCAGAGCCCACACAGGATGTGTCACCACATGCACCATTGCACTCTGAACTGGAGTCACTGATACCAGTGCCTGTGGCTGGTGTGGTGGGAAAGATGCTGCCACTACTGGAGCATCCCAGGGGAGAGGATGCCCTGGTGCTAGCGGTTGTGGATGTCCATTGTTCCAACATGTCCATAAGTTGATGCATGTATTGATAGATTACTGTGTGCTTGACTGGTGTGCCCATGAGCTGTGCCCTAGTGACATCTCTGTGGAATTTACCGCAAAGTGACTTTGCCTTGACACAGCACTGCTTTGGTGACTTTTTGTGGTCACAGTCCACCATTCTGCTGGATATGTCGCAGTATATGTGCCAGTTTGCTTTCGGGCAGATCACAAATTGACGAATCATCTCTAGTTGTGCCAGTACACCCATGAGGCTCTTAATTTCTGGCATGGTCTATGCTACTCTAGTCCTTTTTGCTGCCATCCACTTGGTCTTCTGATGTTCCTCAGCTATCTCTGCTGTGTGGGTGTACTTCAAGTGTGCTGGGGCATCAATTTATACAGTTCTGAGTGACCTATCCATAGGAAGGTCAGATGCAGCAAAGCACTACATTTTGCAGGCATCAGTAGCAAAATTTGGTGCCAAACACAGATGTTGATTTTGCAGAAATACCACTATATGCTTGCTCTGTGCAAACACTACTGTGAATTTTGTAATTGCAAGGTGTGCTGGGGTGTGCTGGGGTTGTGGTGATGATGGCTGGCACTGGGTGCAGGTGCTGCCATGGGCAGTGTGAATTCCCGTAGAAGACCAGGCTTGACAATGGTTTTCTATGCATTTTTTGGTGTGGGTGCCTACCTGTGCTATGCATGACTTGGGAAACTGTTGGGATGCCTGTCACGGCCCCGGAGCTGGCGAGCCAAGCTCACGGTCGTGGTCACGGTGGGGCGGCCGGGTGGTAGCAATTGGAGTGGACAGGCGGGAGTTTTTGGCAATGGAGTACTGAGCGGCACGGAAGCGTGATGGTTTCTTAAACAAGAGGGTTTATTCAACTTACGCTTTTGAGGCGTAGGCAACGTAATTCTTCAGTTACAGTGGTGTGACGAACGAACAACAACACAGGGGTCCGTTGGTCCACAGGGTTCTTGAGCCAAGCCCTTGCTATCTAACCCGGAGGCTAGGGGCGGCTGCCTGGCTCAATAGTCCTAGGACTGGTCAACGGCTCATAAAAGGAGTGAACTAACATACAGTACAATGAACTGTAACTCGTTGAAGATAGTCAGGTGTGACGCCAGTCCCGAAGGACGATCGGATAGCTGAGGTGATTTCCGAGGTCGAAAGCCAGGTAAGTCGTCGTCAGTGTTTTGAGGGTGATCCGAAAGCGAAGTCAGAGTCCAAGCCAGAACAGTCCAGTAACCAGAGAATCAATCAATGCAAACAGACCGAGGTACGAAAAGCAGCGAGAGCCCACGCTGGAGGAGACCTAACTGAGGGACAGTCCCTACGGAGTAGCCTCTGTCCTCAGTTGAACGGATCTCCCCCCGAGGGAGGGGCTCCTTAACCTTTTATAACAATTTGGTGGCCAATTAGAATGTGTCCCTCAAAGAACTTTCTAGCCGAATGACATCATGCTCTTAGCTGACTGAGCATGTGTGAGCCTGAGCTCTCCACTGTTACCAAGCATGCGCAGGGCTGAAAAGTAGGTCAGCCTGACTGACAGCTCTTGGGGTCGCCCAGGGGACACATGCTGGGTGAGCCCAATGGAAAATTCCATGAGCCTGTCTTGCGCATGTCAGCTTTAATTCTCTCTGCATTGGCAGCATTCAATCAAAATTTTCCTTGACAATGCCCACGGTGAGCAGTGTAAATTTTTGACCACTGGACAAAGTGACTTTGCATGCTTGAAGTGATCACCCCATCCACATAAACCCAGAGTGGGAGCTAGGGGCACCTCTGCCTACAGGGTGACAGAGCGTCTGTAGGGGAGATGTTTTTAGGGTGAACCTGGAAGGGTTAGGTTTCCCAGACATGGTCTGCCACTCACAGGGGACCCCAGGTACTCTAGAATTTGCACACCATCACAGCTTAGGTACCGTTGGCTACTGCAAACCCAAAGCAGGGTGCTGGCATGGCAAAAGACCAGGGCTGGTGGCTTCCCACTAAAACCATGTGCAGGCTGGCAGGTGCAGAAAGTATCTTTGTCTGGGGTGCCAAACAGTCCGGCAGAGCCAGGTCAGTCCTGGGTTGAGCCATTTGGTGTGGGGTGATCAGGAGACAATGCCATGGTCCACTGGTGTGATTCGTATCAGAAGGGGAGCCAGGCTGGCAATGGGGGCCCTGCAGGGCTGAGCACTGGGGTGGGTGGGTGACCCTAACACCCAAACCACACTAAGGCTGACGGGCGGGGGTGTGAAGCTCACTTGCCCATTGGAAAGCCCAAAGGGGTGCATCGTGCCTGGGGTGTCAGAGGGTGCTGGGGCAGCGCTGGTATGGGCACCTCCCATTGCCTTGCAGCAGAGCCCACACTCTTCAAAATCCCACGTGACACCCTAAATTGCTGAGGCACCTAGAGGACCTTACGCTGAGAGAAAGTCCTTTTCGAGGGGTTTGCAATAGGGGCTGTAAGAAAGTGGAGGCAAGGAAGAGCTGAGGAAGGAAAGAACAGGCTTGGCAATGGTTTGCTGACCAGCACTGGCATGGTGCAGCCCTCAGAGTGCCTGATGACCTGTGCCATGCATGACTTGGGGAACTGTAGGGATGCCCATGGTGACCCCTTAATTCAAAGATCAGTGTAAGTGTTTTACCACTGGGCAAAGTGACTTTGCATGCTTGGAGCAATCACCCCATCCACATAAACCCAGGGTGGGTGCTGGTGGGGAACCTCTGCCTAGAGGGTGACAAAGTTGGGGAGGTGTTTCGAGGGTGCTGCTCAGCTCTGTCATGGTGCAGCCCTTGGGCTGCCTATCTGTGTCATCCAAGACTTGGGGAATTTTTGGGGTGTTGGGATGGCCAGGGGCTTCCCTAATTCGAACAACAAATGAAATTTTTGGCTGCTGGGTGAAGTCTGATACTTGCAATGAAGCCTTGAAATGTTAAAGGAATTTTGGGCCACTCTTCACTTGCAGCTTTGCCAGGGAGATATCAGCAGAAAGCACCAGGATGTGTTGAGTTGTTGAGTCTCAGGGGAAGGGATTTACGTTATTTGGGGACTAGGGGCAAGAATTGGGATGGGTACTCTTTGGAGAATTAACAGAGGTGGGTTTAAAAGGGAATTTACACTTTTTCTTGTTTGGAAGTAAACAGTTCTACACAGTTGCCAAAGTCCTTCTGTGAACTTTCTTTCATTGACAATTTCACAAGCACTAATAAAATATTTAAACAAATAGTAACAGTAACAGATAGGGAGTAAACCTAACCTCAAATGTCCAAGTTCCTAACCTCTCCCCACTCCCAGCCATCAATCTTAGGAGACGTGAAAGATAGAAAGCTGATGTGATTTCATAAGCTTAGGTGACAGCAGATGAGGGAGCATTGCTTAACAAAGTGCACAACCACAGGGAGTACTACAGAATCCCATCACCCATTTTGACATATATCCCTAGTTACTTAAAACTGAAAAAGGTACATGCATTGACTACATAGTAATAAAAGGTAATTAGAAGTTAGAGAACCGTTATAGCCTGATCACTGATGACTGCTTGTGGACTAGAAATTCTAATAGGATGTCACTCAGCTTTGGATACAATCATGCTTTTTAGGGATGAGAACCTAGTGCCCCACAAGATGCCGCACTTTTGCCCCTTCGGGCCTGCTCTGTATCTTCCTTCCATTCATCCCTGAAGTGTACTGGTGCTTTCCTCTTGTGGATAGAGGAGGCACGGTTCTCTTTTGGAAGAGAATGCACAGTGGGTTGAAATGGCCTATTCTCAATGTTGCTCTCAGTAGTATTGCCATTGGCAAAACGTGTTAAAAGCTTCTGTCTAAACCTTGCCTCCAGATGCCCTCTATGATCAGCCTCCTTATGGAAATGCTCAACCATTTGTAAGATTTCAGTAGTCCTGCCAGTGCTAGATTATAACATGCTGAGGCCCTAAGCCATGTCCAGTTTATGAGGCCCCATACAATAAAAATAATCAAATATATATATATTTTGCATACTAGAATACAAATGTCCGTATTTAGAGAGTCATTTTCTCATATCTTCTTTATCTACTTTATCTACTGATTATTATAAAACTTGATATTGAGTCAGGTTCTTTTTCTTATTTAGAGGCCCTTCATATTGTGAGGCACTAAACTGTAGCTTAAGTAGTTTAAGCCTAAATCTGACACTGAGTCCTGCTTAAGCCTAAATCTGGCATAAAATTGAAATTGGCTTCCTCCCACCTCAATAGCCAATTAAAGATATCATTAATGTCACTTGCCATTCAATCACTGCTTGTAGATATGTTTTGGGATGCTTCTGCCAGTAGCTGAAGAATGCTTTCCTTAGTTTTTCTTTGCCTTGTCCTGTAATTATGTTGATGTTCAGCATTATCATTTGCTGTTTATGAACTAGGAACCACAGCTGCAGTACTAGCCGTAGCTATAGCAAAGAGAAAAAGAAAGTTCTCATGAGGTCTAAGGCTATTTTAAAACATCAGGAATGCCATTTTAAAATATTTTAACAGAACACCCTTGGCAAGAATTACCAAGCAGACCCCCCACTACCACCCACCTGTGTTATGATATCAAGCCCACCACCAAGCTATTCTAAACAGTCGCAACATATCCTACAGCTCAATGGTATCCTCCAGCTCATAGAATCATAGAATCATAGAATCAATGAGTCGGAAGGGACTCATCTAGTCATCATCTAGTCTGACCCCCTGCCATGGGCAGGAAGGATCACTGGGGGTGGCAGGGGTCATAAGACCCCAGCCAGGTGCCTATCCAGTCTCCTCTTGAAGATTTCCAGGGAAGGTGAGAGCACCACCTCTCTGGGAAGCCTATTCCAGGCTCTGGCCACCCTTACAGTGAAGTAGTTCTTCCTAATATCTAACCTAAACCTATCCTCCCTCAGCTTGTGGCCATTGTTCCTGGTGACTCCAAGGGGGGCCCTGGTGAACAGACTTTCCCCGAGTCCCTGCTGCTGGCCCCTGATAAGGTTGTAGGCAGCCACAAGATCCCCCCTCAGTCTCCTCTTGTGGAGACTGAAGAGATTCAGGTCCCTCAGCCTCTCCTCATAGGGCTGGCCACAGAGACCCTCAACCATACGAGTGGCCCTCCTCTGGACCCTCTCCAGGTTCTCCACGTCCTTCTTGTAGTGCAGCGCCCAGAACTGGACACAGTACTCCAGCGGTGGCCTGACCAGCACCGCATAGAGGGGAAGCAAGACCTCTCTGGACGTGTTAGCGATGCCCCTGTTGATGTATGACAGGGTGCAGTTGGCTCTGCCTATTGCTTCATCGCATTGGCAACTCATATTCATCCTGCAGTCAATCCTGACTCCAAGATCCCTCTCTGCCCCTGTGCTGCTGAGAGGGTCAGCCCCTAACCTATAACCATAATGCTGGTTCCCTCTCCCCAGGTGCAGCACCCTGCACTTGTCCTTGTTGAACCGCATCCTGTTCAGATCCGTCCACTTCTCTAACCTATCCAGGTCTCCCTGGATGCGGTCCCTGCCTGCCGGTGTATTCACTTTACCCCACAGCTTAGTGTCATCAGCGAACTTGAATAGGGTGCTCTCAACACCCTCGTCCAGGTCGCTAATAAAGATGTTGAACAGCACTGGCCCAAGAACCGAGCCCTGGGGGACTCCACTGCCCACACCCTCCCACGTCGACATCGACCCATCCACCACCAACATCGACCTGTCCACCACCAGCTCAGTGGGCTGTACCTGGTACCCCTCTGCTTGGAAAAACAGCTACCAGGAAGCACCCAGCAGGGAGTACCTGAGATCTAGTTAATACAAGCGAGCAGCCTCCCCCAAACCAGCAGACTAAATACATGTGTGGCACTAATATTATAGCATGATTTCTAATGCCACTGCTATAACTTACAAGTGACTGGGCGCGAGGTTTGTGGGGTTTCCAGCACAGAACTGAACGATCTGTTTTGGAAACCTGAAGACTCCTGGGTGGGAATATTGGTGGAGTCAGAGTCATTGTCATCCTCATGAACAGAAGAGTGGTTTCTGAGCCCCTGCTGATCATCATCCTGTGAATCTGGTGCCAAAATGTGTGGGGCGACAGTAGTAGAGGACAAGCTCATTTCTGGCTCTGTGCCAAACTTGTCCTTTGAGCTGACCCAACTGAGGTCATTCATCTGTCACTAACTGAGACTGATTGCATCCAGTTTTGGAAGTGGCTGCCCATATACTGTGGTGCCAGAGAGGTGTGGATATGATTTCAGGCTCCTCGGGTTGTAAACTTGTTGTCCCAAACTCATTCATGCAAACCTGTGCAGCATCTCTTTTAAGGATGGTAGCCAACTTGTCATAGAACAATTATTGACCTTAACATGATGGAAAGCACACTTTAAGGACTTGCTCTTACTTCCACACTATTCTCAGTCTCGATTATAGCTATGTTCCTTCAATAGATTCTCGATAGTCACATACACCAACTTATTTCTTTGGTTTTCTAGTCACATGAGCACCTTCCTTTCACCCCAAATATCAATCAGTGCCTCAACTTCTGCATAAACCCAGTTTGGTCCCCGGTCTTAAGAAGTATCTGGGATGTCTTCAAAATGTTGCTTTTTCTTTGTCTCCTCCAGAACCAGCAAGTGTGCTAGATGAGAGCAGAAGAGAGAGTGGAGTTTGCAGAACAGACTGCTAGGACCTGTTCACATGTATGTCCAATGACTTAATACCTGTGAACCTTTTATAAAGAGATGCATAGTAATACTACTTGTGTGATTTGTGCAATCTCTAGAGATTTGTAGCAGTTTTTTGTTTTGTGAGTCATGCATGGCTTTGTGAGTATATTCAAAAAACTATTGTGCTGGTGATTGGTAAAAATGGTGAGTAATCACTGCAGCTGAGAAAATACCACCATGTTAGAATTGATCTTGATAGAAAAACAGTTCCATTAGATATGCAAGCAAGCCAACTCCCGTATGAGTAGTTTCCAAAGGGCGATCATGTTTTTTACAATGTGGTTTCTGCAGGGTTTGGTTGCACCAAATAGAAGAAGTTGAATAGCCCATGTCCTTTAATGCCAGTTGTGGAAGCAAACCCCGACCTGTGCCCTGGGGACAGTTGTCTGCTATGCTACAGGCAGGCAGTGAGACACAGGATGTTTTATTGGCAAGCCTTGGCAGGCTACATCCCTTGTGGTGCCTTAAATGTACCATCCATGACTTGGGGAACTGATGGGGTGTCCTGGGGAGCTCCTAATTCAAACAGCGAAAGCACAAAAAACACAAAAAAAGTTGGCTGCTGGGCAAAGTGGCACCCCTAAATTTGCAGACCATTTGAGAGTGTACAGTGTTGGGGGCAGCCCAATGTCAGGCATGCAGGGTTCAGAAAGGAGGGGAGCTGATAGAGAAACAGTGCAAGGAAGGCTGCTTCCTGCCAAAAAACTGTGCACACTTGTTCATTGCACCCTGGGGGGTGGGGGGAGGATACCAGGCTACAGGCAGGCAGTGAGTCACCTTTTAGATGACAGAGATGAGAGTAGTTTACTGGGATGTTGTGCTGGCAAGACATGGCAGCTTGCACCCCTTGTGGTACCTAATTGTGCCATGGTTGACTTGGGCAACTGACAACCCGACAACTCAGGTGTCCTGGGGAGACCCTAATTTGAACACTGTAAAAAAAAAAAAGGTGGCTTCTGGTCCACTAATATCATTGGGGTCAGGAGCAATGGTGCTGGCAATGGGGGACCTGTCTGGGTGAGCAGTGTGGTGACCCAGGTACAATTTTAAAAATCGCTCACTATTAAGTGAGGTACTCGTTAATTTTGGTACGGAACCCCACATAGTGTTTGCCGGGGGTGGGGGGAGGAGGTTTGGTTTGGTCGTGAGTGTAAAAGCGACAGTTAATTTTCCAAAAAAAAAGACTAGCCTAGCATACCTTTTATTTGAGGGGGAAAGGGGAGGAGGGGTTGTGTGTGGCATACATCAGGTGTGAAATAGCAGAAGGTAATGAAGGATTGTGAATTTTCTAGGAATGGCAATTTTGCCAGTTGTGTTCACAAAGATGGAAAGAGGCAGGGAGGAATTGCAACAGGATCTGGTTTGGATAACTATTGACATGTAAAAGATGCAAGTGCTTTCATGGTAATATACGACTGTTGGAGCCTTTGGGGACCAGGACACAGAGCCAGAATTGGGTGTGTTGCTAAAGACCTGGTTGCTAAAGACCATGGCTTCCTTGAGTCCTGATGGACTAAGGAGAAAGAAGAGATTAATCTTGATGGCCATAGAAAATTGACATCACAGAAATCTGGTTATAGAAGAGGAAATTATGAAAATTATGGAACTGGGCTGGTATGTGGTAAAACTCCTGCAAAGACATCTTAGGATGTCTGCCTCCAAGAGCAGGTGCTTGAGGGAACTGTACAAGATGCTGTCATATTTGGAAAAAGATAAATTGTGGGTTCACAAAACTATACTGGCTTGCTGGCCATAGATTAAGGGCAAGGATTGCCAAATATGGGAATATGAAAGCAGCTCAGACTGGTGGGAATGAATTGTTATGTTGACTGGGAATGATGATCAGTGGCTGGAGACTTTATGAATGAGCAGTTACACCTTCTTCCATATCGTTAGTATACTGTCACCACACATTCAGTGCCAGACAACTGTCATGCAGAAGCCCATTAGCCCAGAGAAGTTTGTTGCCATGGCCATGATGAAACTGACAACTCCAAAAAGCCTGCACCACATTGCAAATCAGTTTGGCATGGCTCCCTGCGCTCCTGGGAATGTGATCAGAGAGGTATGCCCACTGCTGCAGGAGCTGGCAACAAACAAATTTATCTGTCTGAGTAACCCCAGGGCGGTGGTGGAAGGATTCCATGTGATGGGCTTCCCAAACTGCATGGGAGCACTGGACAGCACATACATTCCTGTCCTAAAACCATCCCAGAACAACCGGTCATTCATGAACAGGAAGGGTTTTCCTTCAGTCACTCTCCAAGCTGTAGTGGATCACTGGGGAAGATTTACAAACATTTACATGGGATGGGCAGTAAGTGCCCACGCGTCACGTGTGTTTTGAAATTCACCGCTACCTGGGATGATGGAGAGGGGCCAATATGCCCCCCAGGACTGGAGGAGGTTGTCATTCAGGGTGTTTCAGTGCCCCCCCTGATAAATGTTCATGTGGCTTACCCACTCCTGCCCTGACTCATGAAGCCCTACAGGGTGGAAGTGACTGACCAACAAAAATTCTTGTTCAACAACCTCCTAAGCAAGTGCTGCATGAGCATAGAGTGTGCCTTTGGGTTCTTGAAAGCCTGTTGGAGGTTCCTTAACTACAGACTGGAGATTGATTGGGAGAACATCACCTCTTTCATAGTGGCAGCGTGTATGCTGCATAATATCTATGAGACAAGGGGAGACGTTAGTCTTGGGAACAAGTCAGTCTTGGAAACAAGACATAAGGCAAGGGAATCTGCAAAACATAGAAGGAGAGCAGCAGGGCAAGGCAGGGGGTTAGACATACAGGCAAACAGCAGAAGGGGGGCTCTGATTAGCAATTGCCTGGTGACACATTGTGGCTGCTCACATTGGAGAATGTGATCTGTAATTATGTAACTGGATAGTTACTATATTTGATTTTGTATTTCCTATTAGTTTGTGATTGAATAAAGTCTTTCTGAGAAGCAGTTTGGGATACTTTGTTAATAAAGAGCTCTGGGGGGTGGTATGGGAAGGGAAGAGGACATCCTCCCTGCAGGGGGGAGGGGGTGATGTGGGTGCAGGGCATAGGGTGATTAGTCTGTGGTGGGTTGGGGTGTTGAGTCAGGCAGGAGCCTTAAGAAGGAAGGAGTTTTAACAGAAAACTGGAGTTGGGGGCTAGGAGCAGGTACATGACTGCAGGCCCTGAAAAAAGAAAGATGTGTGAAGACAGAGGTTGTTAGGTAAAAGGTGTAAAATACAAAGAAAGAAAGAAAGACTTTTTAGACTTTTTATGAAGGTTTATTAAGGGGAAAAGGGGGTAACAATCCAACAAAAAAATAAAACACTGTCCACACAGCAGCCCATGTACAACAGACAGAGCCTGGGGCTTCAGCCTGCAAGGCCTGCCCTCACAGTCTAAAAATAAAAATATCCAGTACAACAGCCTGCTGAGACCCCTGTCTCTAGCCCAGGAAAGGGCAAGCAGTATCACAGTGCGAGGACTAAATGCCACCTTCAACACTGCAGTGCATACCCCTTAACTGCCCAATGTGCCTGGAAGGCAGGCACCGTCCACTGAAGGACTGCATGCTCAAACTCCAGTGACAGGCATACCTGCACCAAAAACTGGAAGAGCCACAGGGCATCATCTGAGCCGGCCTCAGCAAGCCAGTTCCTGAGGCTCTTGAGAAAGGCATAATGAAGATGCTCCTCCACTCCCTCTGGATAAAAGGGGCAGGCCGCTGATGCAGCTGGGTCTATGTGGTGGATGAGAGTGCTCGTAGCTAGTAGCCCATGTAGCAGCTGCCACTGGAGGTCACTGGTCTTTTTGGAGATGGGGGCCTTATAAAGCATGCGCCATGCAGGGCGGGCTGGCATGAGCGCTGGTACTGCTATTTTCCTCTACCACACCATGTTGAGCTGAGTGGCAAGGATGCAGGGATGGTGAACGTGAATCACCCACAGATACAGGGCCTTCTGGGGGAGCATGATGAAGCAGATTCTTGTGCTGCTGTCAGGAGGCATGGGAAGAGCCAATGAAGTGCCGGGGCCACCACCCAGTTCACCATCCACAACTGGGACAATGGGCACTGGTGGAAAAGGCTCATCCAGGACATCCCCAGTGGAGAGGGCTCTCTGTGCCTGGAGGTGGTCCTCCAGGGCAGCTGCCACATCTGCTGGCAGAGTGGCCCTCATGTCCCCCAGGAAGCGGGCAGCACAACAGACCGAGCGCATGCCCAAGCAGGCAGCAAGAGTCTCATCTGACAATCAGGCTGACCGTGTCATGTCAAGGAGGTATCCCAGCTGGATGGTATGTGATCAGAGGAGGGAGTAAACAAGGCTGCTAGAAGTGAGGCTGCCTGCACTGCAGGTTTGGGTTATGGACCAGGGACTCTTGCAGTAACTACAGAAACCACAGATGTCTGGCTTGGGGCAGAAGGCAGAAGGCAGATCACCAGGACCTCACCATGCTTTGATAGAAGGGTGGGAGGACACCCCAGTCCAGGAGGGTGAGGTCCAGAAGGAAAAGTTCCCTGTCCAAACCATGGCCCCTTACCCGGTGCAAAAACAAAGTAACTAGCTGCTGCTGGGTAAGGGGTCCTTGCAGTAGAGGAGCCTTTGCAGGACCTGGAGGCAGAAGGCCACCACCCTGCCCACTAGGTCAACTAAGCCCTGGCCCTCTTCAGCCACCAGCAAATAAAGAATGGCTCTCGGGAGCCAATGATGCTCGTCCCAAAAGAAGTCCACAAGAAGTCTCTGGAGCTTCTCAAGCAGGTCCAACGGGGGGTCCAACATGGCACACTGGTGCCACAATGTTGCAGCTATCAAGTTATTAACAATGAGGACCCACCCATGGTAGGAGATGCCAGCACCATTGCTGCAGGTGTGCCTACACCTTGACACCAAGGTCTTCCCAGTTCTGTACTGAGAAGACCGCTGGCCTGAGGAACACCCCCAGGGCCTTGAGGCCCTCCTGATGCCAGGGAAGAGGCAAATCAGGGGGAGGGGGTTGACCCAAGGACTGAGAAGGAGGGTGTCGCTCTTGGTCCATTTCACACATGTGGAAGAGGCACGCTCATAGGCATGTTGACAATTGACCAAGGACTGGACATCACCCTGGGTGCTAATGAGGACAGTCACATCATCCACATATGCTGTCAATGGGACCAGCAGACAGCCTTTTGAGACAGATGGAAGAATTAGTCCAATCAGGCACCACCACAGTGTGTAGAGTAGGGGCTTGATGGACAAGGTGCACAGCATTCTTGACAGAGGGCAACCCTGGCGGATGCCCTTGCAGGCCAGGAATGGGGCACAGAGCATGCCCTTCACCTTGAGGAGGTTCAAAATATCCTGATACAGGATCCAGAGGGCAGAGGCGGAGATGGGCCCGAAGCCAAAGGCCTCAAGGGTCTGAAACAGGTCGTCATGGCGGACCCAGTCGAAGGCTTTCTCCTGGTCCAAGGAGCCAAACCCGATGTTGAAACCAAAGAATTCTGCAGCCATCAGTAGGTCTTGAAGCAGGAACAGATTCTCCTGAATAGTCCTTTCCAGCATGCAGTAGCTCTGCTCAAGGTTGATGATCAAAGTCATAATGGTGGGCAGCCAGTTAGTCAAAGCCTTGCTCAGGATCTTGTAATCAGTGCACAAGAGGGACACAGGCTGGCTAGGCTCTGTGGGTGTATCAGCCATGAGGCTGCTGGGTTCGGGATCGAGGAGGCGAGTCAGGAGTAAAGTAAAGGCAAATTTACTTATAGCTTAGCATACAACAGTTAACAGAAAGGTTAATACAACAAGCAGATAGTACAGTAATAAAGGGCTAATAGTGAATGATAACAACAGATAGACCGAATGACAAAGAGTTCCCACATGAGGGTTGGCAACTTATTGGCAGTCCTTCTATGCCAGGTGAGTGCCACGTTGTTCCAGTGAAGTCAGGCATCCCCAATCAACACTGTCTGAGGGGTCACCAGGAAGGTCCTTTGATCAGGATCCGGTCCTCACTCACACTGGGAGTCCGGGGTCCAGGCTTGGTACAGCGATGGTCCTTCTGTCCCGTCCTTCATACTAGTCACCTGACATACATGCTTCTTTATATCTTATCTTATGCTAATCTGTTGGCTTTAGAGCCACTCACAATCTTGCCCTATAGCTGTTACCCTATGGGATCAAAAGGTGTTAGACATTATGATGACAGGTTACTGCCCGAACTCGGGTTTACCTAATAAGCCAATTACATCACATTACTTTGAGGTTTGAAGTTAGCATTACCTGCCTAAGCTCAAATCCTCAGTTTTTTATTCCTGGATTCCTTGGAATGTGCTGATTATATTAAGTGGTCAGATCTTGTTATGGCTTGACCTTTAAAAAAACCTGTTAGATCAGCTAATCTTGTAGCTCTGCTTAGTTTTGGGGCTCAGTGGTCCCACGATCAGTGCAACAGTTAGATTCAACACTGGTTAAATTATGACAGACAAATTCCACTTGCAGGTTGCAAACTTGCAAGCTTTGCATCAGCTAATCTTAACTGCTTATACAATTGCCGAATGCCTCTAAGAGCATATATTTATTGCTCATGATAGTAACCCCTCTGGTTCTGGCTACCAAACCACCTCCAACTCCCAAACATGGCAGCAAAGCTCATTTGTTGCCAACTGCCTGTACTGCAGACAGAAAACTCTAATCTGCAAGCAAAGCAGCCACAGAAATGAGTGTCTTGCAAAAGACTAGTGTTGAGGTACCAGTAGGGTACACAGAAATGTGTCCTGCTGGGTAGGCTCAGCATGCAAGAGACCAGGCTGTGATCTGATAGTCCTGCCAGGGTAATACGGCTGCTGTGCAAAAGTGGTAGGTGGTGCCTGGTGATGTACAAGCAGTCAAGGCATGCCACAGAGAGCCCAATGGTATATTTCCTCACATTCAACCAGGTATACTTCCTTGCATCGGCATGGAGATGGCACCAGACATCAACAAGGTCTGCTGCCTTCAAAGCCATCCACAGCTTCTGGGCCAAGGATGGATGGGGCTCTGGCCCATTCCGGTAAAGACGTGCATTGACTGTGCAATTAAAGTCTCCCCTCCCACCCCAAGGAGGAGAAGGTCATCACTATCAGCTGCGCTCTGCAAAAAGTCAGCCAGGGTCTCAAAGAAAGTGGTTCATTCTCATCCAGCAGTAGGCATATTGACGTTCATTAGGAGGAGGCGATGTTGTGCAAGCAAGATATGAATGGTGAACAGGAGGCCAGGGACAACCCCTTGGGCTACCACTGAGTCAGGTGTCAGTGATAAAAGGATTGCAACCCCTGTGCCAGGGGAGGTGTCATGACTCAAGAAACTGCCGCCCTTCCAGGCAGCATGCCAGTCAGCTTGATTAGCTGCAATGGTGTGTGTTTCCTGCAGAAAGGCTATGTCCAGCCTTTTCTGGTTCAGGAAATCAAAGAGTGCCATCTCTTCATAGGGTCTCTGCAGCCATTGGCATTAAGAGAATCAAAGGTTGTGGCAGCCATATGTGAAGGGTGTAGAAGTGGGGGGGACAGGCAAAGCCAAAAAAAAAAGAGAGAGAAGCAGCAGAGAGGAGCAGACATGCAGGCCAGGGAAAGACTGGACCTACAACTCCTGAGCTGGTGCTTCTTGTAACAAGTGCCCAACATCACCCGCAAGCTTGCTAAGGCAAAAACTATAACACTGCATCCCTGGACTGGAGTGCAGCGCTGCTGCTGCAGCCTTAGTGGACATCACAAATGTCTCAGGTTTTGGGAAACCATTTACTGTGCAACCCTCTGGTGGTGCTTGGTCTGGTCTAGAAACCTAATGAGGTATTCAACAGAATAGCCAGCACAGGGAGGTTTCTCAGAAGCAGGAACAGGTTCTGCTTCTAGGGTGGGGACACTCCCTATTGAGGGGGGCACCTTAGCTGAATCGGGGGACACTACCTCCTGGTGGAAAATTTCTGTCAACTCATCCTCAGAGGCAAAATCAAGGTCCGACTGAGGAGAAGGAGCTATACATGCCAGGCACCAAGAGCTGTTGAGCCCTGATCTTTTGGGTGGGGCACTCGTGTGGTCTAGGCACTCTTGCTCTCACAGGCAGTTGAGGCTCCCAGAAGGTCCAACCTTCATATTGACCTCGTCAGGCTCAAGGATCTGAGAGGTGGAAGGAAGGCCGTTGGACTCCCCCACCACCTTCCCTACTCTCAGGTCACCCCTGAGCACTACAGGGTCAGGGGAGGGGGCTGAGGAGGCAGGCAGAGAAGGGCCCTGCTCAGTAACCTCCACTCCCCTAAAAGTGGGGAGGTCTTGAAGGGATAAAGAGGCCTTTTTGGAAGACCCCTTTTTTTCTTGGACTTGCACTTCCCAGCAGGAGGGGCTAAATCCTCCCCTGAGAGGGGAGGAAAGGGGGAGGCCAGGTCCACTGCTACAGAGCTAGCTGACTCCAACGAAACAGAGCAACCAGGAGGAAGGCCCTTCCTCACCTCCCAATAGAGCTGCTGCACCAGAGGTGGATGATCCATCATCAGGCACAGCTGCAGGAGGCTCTGCTGCACCCAGCTTCTTTGGGTACCTGGTAGCCAGGTGAGGCCTACTACCACAGTGAAAATATGAGGTGTCCCCAGTGGTGAGGTAGACCTCATAACACTGCCCATCAAACAGGAAGGACATGGAGTGGGGCAAACCCCAATCCTCCCTGTTGAGAAGTATAAACAGCTGCCTTTTAAAAGGTAGGACATGCTGGAGCTCAGGAACTTTGCTACCAAGCAGCAGTCTATAGACTGGCCCTATAACTATGGCATAAGGGCACAGGCAGTTAGTGAGGTTGTCATCCCACTGAACAGCTAGGAGCTGCCTTTAGCCATTCCAGGAAAAAAAGGGTTAACACTGCAAGGAAACAGAGGGGTGGGGGATGGACAGCCCTCTGCCAGCAGGGAACAAAGCAGCTGGAAACAAACTAGCCCCAGGGAAGAGGAGAAAGGTAAGCAATGTAGCAGGGAAGGGAAGGGAAGGGAAGGAAAAACAATAAGCAGCAGAAAAGCTGCAGTGAGAGGGAGGGAAACAAACAACCTGAGGGAGGGGGCAGGGAGGAGCAGAGGGTTACTGCAGGATAAAGGGCTGAGAAAAGGGGGAAAAAGGCAGGAAAAAATAATGAAAATTAGGGGACTACAGTGGGAAAGGGGTCAGACTGTCTAGGGGAGGGAAAGCAAAACAAGAGAAATAGAAAGGTTCACAAAACAGGGAGAAGCTTTTAGAACTCAGAGCAAAACTCCTGTTTGCAGCCATTTTGAAAGAAAGAAAGAAAAAAAGAAAAGGGTGCTAATGCTGTGAGGCACACCAACAAACCCTAGGCAGGCGCACCTGAATCGTAGTAATTGGAGATGCAGGAAATTGGAATTGACATGCAAATAGGATAACTGATACAATGCCTCTGCCTGAGCCAAAAATGCTTTCAAGACCTGCAAAAAAAAATTCTGGTTATGAGAGGTGTTTTCCAAACATAGTACCCCTGCTTTGTGCACCGAAGACTCCCGAGCATGCATGCATGGGGTTTTTGGGCCAGAGTGATGGCTGTAAGCATCCAAAGTGGCTTCACACAGCAGGCAAAAATTACTTTCAGTGTGAGAATTGGGGTCTGTACTTGAAACCACAAGTGTGACACCAATGATGGGAAGGAAGTGGGGAGGAAGTGAGGGATGGGGCATGTGATGCATGGGTAGGGTGGCAATTAATGGCCAATAAATAAGAGATAAGCTGTGCTTGCATGGTTTACGAATGTGTTGTCTGAGGCAAAATTGCAAGCATGCTTGAAGTTGTTTTTTTTAAAAGCATACAAAGAGAGTTCAACCTATGGGTGCTGGAATTTAGGGGGTGGAGTGCCCACACTGCCCCCAGCAGTGGAGGGAGAGTGCTTCCCCAAAAGAGCATCTCACCTTTGTCCAAGACACTTGACCAAGCGGGCAACAATATTTTGCTGTGTGCATATTAGGGGCTCAGCTCCACTGGAAACCCCAAGAGTCACCCCTGTGATGAGATGGGGGAAAAGGGGATACCATGTACATTTGTTGGGGGGAGCACCAGGAGACAGCACCCAGCAGCGCAGAGAGAGTGCTTCCCAAGAAGAGCAACCCACATTTTATCTGTGCCTGGCTTCACCAAGCGGGCAACAATATCATGCGGTGTGTGAATTAGGGGCTCCACTGGACACTCCAAGGGGAAAAGCAAAACCACCCAACCCAAAAAAATACACCAATCAATAAATACATTCCTAAACTGCCCCTGCTGCGATTTAGGACTGGGAGGTGAAGAGAATAAAATTGTTATGAGGTGCCTGCTAGCATCTTTTACTAGCACATTAACCCATAATGAGGCTAAAATACATTAAATAAGGTACATGCTGCATCATTTGTCATGGTACATTATGACAGTAAAAAAAACCTAGGAATAAGGGCTGTGCGAAATTTTGCTAGCAATTTTGTTTCAACGCTGTTTCAACTTGTTTCGAGGTCAAAAGAGTGAAATTGAAACAAAACAGAGAGCTCCGAAATAGCCATGAAACAAAACAAGGCATATCGAAACGTTTCAAATTTTTCAAAATGTTTTGAGTTTCAAAGCTCAAACTGGGCTTGCCTGCAGGGAAACAGAAACTAAAGTAAGGAGAGGGAGGAGGAAGAGGGAAGAAAGGGGTGGGGAAGGAGTGCTCTCATTATTGACGGTGTAGCTGGCCAGTGACTGTCATCCTTTCCTGAGGTCCCTTCCAATCCCAGTGCTCTGGGGAAGGGATGGAAAAACTGCATAAAAGACAGCATTGTTTGAACTGC